ATGCTTAAGGAAAGCAAAACAAGGAATTAATTCACCACATCCCATGGGCAGTCAGATGTTCAGCCACCCCCTGAAAAGCAGAGCTCCATCACACATAACTGTGACTTGAGACGACGAATGCCATCTCTCCAAACATGTTCCCCTCTTCCTCCTTCATCAGCTTTATGAACTGAGCATGATGCTATGTGGTGTGGGATGTCCCTTGAGTCAGTTGGGGTCAGCTGTCCTGTCTGTGTCCCCTCCCAGCTCCTTCTGCACCCCCAGCTCCTCACAGGTGGGGTGAGGAGCAGAAAAGACCTTGACTCTGTATAAGCCCTGCTCAGGAGTAATGAAACATCCCTGTATTACCACACTGTTTCCAGCACAAATCCAAAACACAGCCCCATGCAGCTACTATGAAGAAAATTAACTGAATCTCAGCCAAAACCAGCATGGTATTGCATAACACTCAAGAGTCTCAGGAATGGCTTAGAATATTATATAGTGTATAGATCTGTGATCTTGTTGGGAAAATGTCCAAGCCTTCATTTTTCACAAGCCTATGCTGAATTATAGGGTGGTCCCTCAGATCTGCTGATCTAGACCCTAAATTAAGTGCTTGTTTTACTGTTCTGGGATAGCCTTTCTACAGTGTACATTATCTGGGGTTACCGTGTTTTTCCTTGGGAGCTTTAGCAGCATTTCAGCCCCAAGGTGCTTCCCCTAGTTTCTGTAGAGATGTTGAAACATCTCTGCTTCCTCCCTCTAGGGGTCTTGTCTGCAAATTTTAGCAGATGACACCTCACCTCCTCCTCTGTTCCTCCTGTGGGTTGAACACCACCAACATCATATGGTTAAATATATTCCTCTGCTTCAGTCCCAGTTTGGCATGGGCAAGTCAAAGCCCAGAGTGGGCTCCACACGAGGCACAGGGTGCCTGCTCAAGCAGCAGTAGTGGCTGGACTGCAGCTGCCAGCCCAGACAGGCAGGAAGCCTTGCCCTGCCACAGCTTGTTGGGACAGTGTGCAGGAGGGGCACAGCACAGTCTGTACCTACTTGGCATAAAACAGTACTACCATGTACTATATATTTCACAGTAATCTGGGAATTGAAAAGCTAAACAGTTTCACAACAAGCTTGGCAGCTGTCTAAACCTACACATCAAAACCTGATGGGAGCTTAAGATTTTCATATTAAAATGTTGCCAAAATCAACATGCTTTAGTGCAAAAAGCTGCAGTATGGCTGTACGTAGGATTTTCTCTCTGACAACACGACTCTTGACTGTAGGCACAGCCCAAAACAAAGCTTGTGGTAAGGACACAGTTGGCCCTTTTGGCTGCCAGCTCATGCTCCTGGCTCAATTCAACTTATCATCAACCCAAGTCAAATTTAGAACTCTTGGCTGTCTAAGTGGGCAGTTTAGTCAGAAAAGCTCTCTGTAAGTCAGCTGGTGTTTCCAGGATCACTTCTGGTGTCAATAAGCACAAGGAAAGTGGTGGCTCCTCTCCTGCAGAGTGCCACATGTGAGCCATCAGCAGAGCCAGGACATTGTCCCTGGCAGTGACCAGAGCTGGTGCCACACAGGCAGGGCAGCAGGTGCTGACTGGTGCAGGCTGGTGCTTAGGCTGGCTCTGGCATCTATGCAACACCTGGACCAAGAGTGGGACCTTCTCATTTCAAGGCTGTTTCATGGAGAAGGTGCTGTATCAGGAGTTCAGTCACCAGGCACGGCTACAGACCAGACTTGAGTTATGATCTGAAATCAAAGGCAACAAGGTTACAGAGGATGGTATTCAAGGTTTTCCTTTATTGCTTCTGTCTCTTGCCTCTCTCAGGGACTCACCTAGGAAAAGGTGATTCATATAAGAAAGCATGAATTTTTCAGGGTGCCTCTTTGCAAATGTTTTGGCAATATTTTGATACACTTGCAAAATAAGTTATGGTGAGTTTTTGCCCATTCCTTTCTCTTAGACAAATATTTTGGAAATCTGAGGCTTTTACAGATTCAGCAGTTCCAAGGGAGACAGCCAAGATAATGGGTCACATTTTGCTCTTTAGTGCAGATCTACTTGTTTTCCTGGTACAGAAGAGGGACTTCAGGCAACAGCCATGACTTCAGAGAAACTGGGGCAAATATTTTGGGGGAGGTTCCAAGGTGCTGCCTACTTGGTACCTGACCCAGAAAATATCCTTTTAAGCAAAAAGATTAAACTCAGAAAATAATTTTTGTGATCTGAGCTGTACCACAGGCTGCTGCCTGTACCTGAGCACAGAGTCTAACTCCCTGCACATAAACCTCTGTGCTTTGGGTTACTACTGGAAAATGTCCCTGGAAGACAAGATGATGGGTGTCCCGTGCTGCCATAAAGTTTCTGTATACTGGAAGGAGTTTCCTTTAATATGATTACTTATTTGAGGTGTGAAGGTCACCAGTAACTCTCACCAATTTGATGGGAGTTGTAAGTATTCAGTCCATAAAATGTGGAGAATGCTGTGTAGAGGTGGATAAACACACATAATCACATAAATTCAATAGAAAGCTGCAGTGCATTTTCCCCCTAGTCTGACACACACATCAAAGCCTGTATACATATTTTTCAGCAGCATTTCATTTTTTATAAGGCAATCACATTACTGGGAAATTAAAATTAGCCATAAAGAGACAGATTCTGCAAATTCTTTGCAGTGGAGGGAGAGAAAATGGATAGAGTTTTATCAGGATATGAAAATCAGGCCAGCTTTATTGCCACATCAGGTGTTACTTGTTGCAATGAGCTTGTTTTAACTCTAGGACTCACTTAAAGAAAAGCCTCCAGTACTCATTTAAAGAAAAGCCCCAAACCAGCCATCTGTCCTGAATGGAGAAATTGGCTTCCTAATGCAAAGCCATTCACAGAGTGTGCAGCAGAGTTTGCTCAGTAGCTCACTTTGTGCTGCAGAATGAATGGGAAGGTTTTGCCAAGAAGTTCACCAGTCTTTTGCCATTATTACAGGCAGAGGTACTGATAGGAATGTAGCTGTATCCGTGAATCTCCTGCCTTCTTTCCTGAGGTGGCTGTGGAGACACTGAACACCAAGATGCTGCTTTGTGTGTGTGTGTGTGTGTGTTTGCTGGCCCCATTTTCTTCTTTCCAGCTGAACAGTGAGCATTGTTAATTCTCCCTGTGGGAATTCCAAGCACAGAAAATTCTCAAAATTTTGTGCATGCAGGCTCAAACACAGAAATTAATACAGGGTTCAGCCTGACACCTTGGAAAAGGCTTCATAAATCCAGAAGGATTTAAAGACCATGAGCAAGAATGTGGGTTTGTAGTTTAGATAGAAGGACATTAAGCTAAGTAGTGGAAAGTTTTAAGGTTTAAAGTTAAGCTATAGAAGTAGTTATAAAGAAGTAGTTATAAAGGTAATAAGAAATTTTAAAGTATAGCAAATAGTTTTGTGTGTCATTATACGATTGGTTAAGAAAATCTTCACTGTGGCAAAGACATATAAGACAAAATAATTAACCATTGGTGTGAAAGTAGAAACATTATTTTGTGGCAATAGATTATTGACTATTAATCTTTAAGAGACCTTGTAACCTGTGATCTTGTGACCACTGACCATGGACATCTAGCAAACATGGTGAAGACATTCTCACTCCTTCATGAGACTGTAGAAGAAGAAGAATGAATCAGGCTTTAAGATGTCTCCCAGTGGTCCTGTCTCTCTCAAAAATCCCAATACTCCCCACTTTTCCTTTGGTAAAACATGTAGGATAACCTTAAATACTAAACCTGACCCCATTTTTTTACCAGGCTTGAAACTAGTCCACCTATAAAATGACTGCTTCTACAGTCAAGTTTGATTATTACCAATCAGATGCTAATAAAAAAATTACATGTTATATAAGCAGACTGCTACCACCCCCAGCCTCAAAAATTACTTTCTGAAAGATATTTTTGCATAGAGTTATAATACTTCTGTTAATAGATTTTCACTCTGCCTCCTCTACACTTCACAGATAACAGTGGAGTTATATATAGTGATGGAGTCTGGCAGCAGGGAGGAAGTATTTCCCTAGGAGTCTGTTACTGGTGTGTGTTAGGTAAGAGCTGCAGACGTAATCCTGGCCCATCAGCATGGGCAGTGAGAGTCTCAGTGGCCTGGGAATACCATGACAGTGTGCACCTTTATCTGCTTGCATCGCTTAAGACAAATGGTGTCTGGCCAACACTTGAGTGGGAAAGAAGTCATCATTTTTCATGTGTGGGAGCACTGCAATCAAGGCAAGGTGCACAAATTGTTGCTAATTCTGCTATTTTTTATAGGATCATGGCTATATAAATATTGAGCAGACAGTAAATTGCTATGAGCTTTTAAGAGCAAGGGAGCTTTTACATGGTTTTACAAATTGTCTATCAGAGTGGAAGTATCAGCTTGGCAGGAAGCTATACAGGATGAAGTCTTTATATTATAACACAACTACAGTGGACTAGGGAGAAAAGATTGGCAAGAGCAGAGCCTCATGCTAATTCAGGGCTCTTGTTCCTCCAGGCCAGCATGTGGTAGAAGGAGATGTGGGAGTGAAATCCCACCGAGGACAAATAAGAAAACAGAAGATGAAAGTTGGAGCAAAGTGGTGATACAAAGGTCAGACAGGTCATTTCCATGAGAGCCATGGGGGGCTGTGAAGAGACTGTTCCCATCAAACTAATACCGTCTGTTCTCACATTACATTGCATTTCAGCCACCCTGAATCCAAACTGTTTGAACAGAATAACTCAGCCTGGTTTCTCTAGGTGAACCATGAGGAGAAATCCTAGTCAGTGATTCCAGCATCAGATCTGGAATTGAGACTTGCTGCTTCACTTCCACACCTCCCTACCCCTGCCCTTGCCTGTGCTGTACTCCACTGAGAGGGTGAAGTGGGACAAGTCACAGCTATTGCTGCAAGAACTGCTCTGGGCTAGGGCTCAGCTAAGTGAGCACATGGATATGAATTCTTCTTCTATTTCCTTTATGCCTTGTGTCATTCAGGACTCAAAACTCAATGTGCAGAACAAGCAGACCAACATGGCTGAAGCCAGAAGAGCATCATCCTGAGGCCCTGCTCAGGGCAAAGGGCTCCCCCACGTGTGTATTCCATCTGCAGAAGAGAAAGTGCATTTACAAAGCATTTTGATTCATCCTAATAATGAAGTTATAAATAAAGCAGTGTGAAGCATCTACCTTTTCATTTGTGCTTGATTAGGGCATATTCAGCTTCTACTTTGGAATGGCAGCAAAGAGTTAGTATCAAATAGTCCAGGTCTCCTGTTGAAGCTCTGGAACTGAGGACTGGAGATACTGGGGTACCACACAAGTCTGGCTTTGGCTCCATGATGGGAAGAACTGCCTGTAGCAAGGGCCCCAAACATAACGTTTCCTCTCCACAGATTTTTGTGGCCCTGGCCAGTTGCTTGATGCCCATGGCTGGATGAGGATAAATGCCCATGCCTGTACTTGTTACCTGATGCTGAGCCCAGCTGCTGAGGGGTGGCTCATGTCTTCCAGGCAAACTTCAGATGGTGCCGCCTGACCACATCCAGTTTGTCTGTTGACAATGGTGTCAGCTCCATGTGCAAGCCTGTGCTATGGCTGGGGATTATCAGACTGTGCTTGCCAGCACTATGAACAATTTAACAATATGTAAAATTGAGAACCTTGCCAGGGAATATTCCTTGGGGTTTCCAGGCTGAGGAACATAGTTACACCACCAGAGGTAAAATTGCAAAGTTGCACACACATGTATATGCATAAATTATGTATAACTTATATAGATTAAATATGGGAAAAATTTTAGGTGCTTGGATTTATTGCAAAGATATTTAAGCCCTAATGGTCAAAGAAATATCAGTGGGAATTCAATATATCTGCATATTTGCAGATCTATGCCACAGTCCCTGTCCCAGAGGGGTTTTAGTCCCACTAGATACTTCTCTGCTATCAGGAATGAAGGACCAGCATAAATGATGATGTGCATTTTCCTTTAATAATTTCCCTGCTTGACATTCTCATCCTTTGATAAGGTGCCAGTCACTCCTACCCCCCTCCCCCTGTTCCTTTTTTTTGCCAGACCACACAGAGGAAACTCAAAGGTATTTGCAGTGGTTTAAGTGGGCTGATCAGCCTTCACCTCAGTGCCCCAGGTACGGAGCTGAAGGCCATAAATCTCATTCAAATTGCCATCTTAATGTGGTTTCTTGAGGCTCTTTAGGCTGGGGTTTGGATGAAGCTGCTCACTGTGTTCATTCATTTTTCTTACTCTGTTGCAGATTTCACCAGCTTACTGATCTATATCTAGGTCAGCTTCATAAAGCATCATTTCTGTTCTAGGGCTTCCTAAAGCATCATTTCTATTCTAGTCTTCAGCTGGGAAGATGGTTGTAAGGGGCTGGATGAGAAATGGTGAGACTGCATGGATCTCCAAGTGAGTGTTAGTCTTTATCTCTTACTTAGTGCCTTATAACTATTTGCAAAGACTTGTGAATTGAAGTAAGTCACGTGTAAGAGAATGAAATTGTTAATGGCTTAAACCTTTTAAAATGATTGAAGGACTTCTGCCCACCATGGCAAGCTGCAAAGACACAGCTGAACATCTGGGAGAACTCAAGCCCACCCCTCCCCAAATATGCCTAATACCTGGAATTTGGATTGTGATGGGAACTTGAGATAAGATAAAGGAGGTATTATTGTCCAATCATCCCAGGATTCCATCTAGGGAGGAGGAGAATGTATCCACAAGTGATGCAGGAAGAGAGACTGGAATGCCAATGGTTCAGATATTCAAGGGGAAGCTGCCATGTGCTGCCATCAGTGCAGAGGGTGAGCACAGCCCTCCTCAGGCTACACTGGTGTTGAATGAGGTAAGGAAAGAGGCAAACCCTGTGCGGCAGGGAATTGTCTCTGTCCTTACTCCAGAGAACACAGCTGTATTAATTCCCCTGTCAGGGAAGTACCAGAACACTCACAGGTAGCCTGGAGGTGTCTGTCTCTGCTGAAGGGCCACCATGGGCCATAATGGACTCAGCTGCACTGGTGTGATAGGCAGCTGTATCTTCTTTAAGTGTCAAAGACTCCCAAAATATCCTGAAATCCACAACATTACATAACCCAGTTGAAACTCCATGCTGCAGGGGAGGTATCTGGGCATTCCTATTTGAGCCTGAGTGAATATAAACCAAACAGAGTTTGTATTCTGGAGGTTTCCTCATCACCTGATGGATCCAGTCTGCAACTCTCACTTTGACTAAGACTGTGACCATCCCTTTGACCAACAACATTGACAACATTGAAATGGCAACAGCTGAGCCTCTTCACAAGGCCTGTGGGTGGTGAAATTTTTCTACTCTTATCCATTCCTTCTCTTTCTTAGATGTTTTCTGAAATGATATTTCATCCTTTTATATTATCATATTACTGTAGATAACAGCAATCAAAATGGCTACATACCTGTTTTCCTGTGCAACCAAACTGTTCTACAAGAAACCCTACATATGTATAATTGCAAACACTGATCATTCAGTGTTGTTTCACTCTAATCCACCCCCAGTGAGTTGAACTCTGAGGTATACTGATGACATGGGCTAAAAGCATTCAAAATGGGGTGATCGATCCAAGGCTTGCTCTAAGGGGTGTGCTGTCCTTTAAAGGTAGCACAGTGGGGGCTTGGCTGCTGCTGGGGAAGGGTAGAAAGGAAAGAAAAGCAGGTAGAGTCTAATGGAAAATGTTTTTCTGCTCTATTAATCTTGAAATAAGAAATTAAAATGGAAGTCTCAGCAGCTGTGAGGTCAGACTTGGCTGCAATACACTCAACCTCTGCTATGAGGGTGACAAGGAGGGAGATGGAGTTGGGTGAAGAAGAAGAAGAAGAAGAAGAAGAAGAAGAAGAAGAAGGCAAAGAAGAAAAGAGATTTAAAGGCTGAGTTGGAGAAAGAGAGAAGAATTAAATTATCATCATCCCTGATTTACATTTGATGTAGAAGATGTATGGTTTTTACAGACTCTCAGAAGAGAGAAAATCTGCTCAGAAACAGCTTTATCTATTACTTTGCAAAGCAAAGTTCTTTTTCACACTAGAAGGAAAAAAACCATAAAATAGCACTTTGCAGAAGTGAACTGAGTTCCCATGATGAGCTAGACTGTTAAACCTGTCCTCACCAGGCTCTTTTTCTGTACCATGGTCTTGTTTCATGTCAGTTTTTGAATCAAGCAATGTGTTGACAATTCAGTGAATTGGAAGGGGCAAAAAATAGAGGTCAGAACAATCTTATTATACATGAGGAAGGAGGCTTATGTTTTCTCTGGATCCATAATCTGATTTTTCTATTGTATCATTTTTCCATACATGAAATCTCCAAGCAAAAGAATTTAGTTGAATGACTATATAGTAATTACCCAGATGGTATCTATTAAATTGGAAGGAGATAAATATCTCAGTTAAATAAAAAAAAAAAGCCATTCCTAATAAATTTCAGCAGACATCTGCCAATGAGGCAAATCTTATGCAAGGCAAGTGTTTGAGATGCAGGAATATTGAAAATAGAGGGAAAGTCTATATGCACGCACATAAATAGCAACAGATGTGAACATGTAGGAAACTATTCTTTGGGGTGTTTGCCAATTAAACCAGCTCCAAATCTGTCTATATTCCCAGCATGCTGAGAAGGGATTCAGCTTGTAGTAAAGATTTCAAAGTGTCACTTAATCCTGTCAGCCTGTCCTGTTGTCAGGGCTAGTCAGTCTTCACAAAGCTCCTTGGTGTGGGAAAGCTATGTCATGAACCTCAACAAGTAAGAAGGAGACATGAGCTTTTTCCCCATGTACAACGAATTCTGGTGTGTCTGCTGCAATTGGGTATTTGGGAGGAAGCCTCATTTCTATAATAGTTCAAAAATCCTGGTACAAGCCCCAAACAAGTATTCAATTTCCTTTCAACAATGCTAACTTGCCTTATAAAGTCCCAGCAGGTGTTTTGCCATTGTAATTTTTGTGTGTTTTGAACTTTGTCTTTTTCTAACTTCCATTTTAATTTTCTTCTGGAGTTCCCCCTCTTCAAGGCCATTTTCTTGTTCTTGGCTTTGCTGGGATGAGAGACAAGTCTGTGTCTGGTCTGTCCATCTGCAGCAGCCCCACTGCAGAGGGAATCCCTCTGCCAGGAGCCTGGAGCTTGTGCAGGATCCCTGGGGAGTGCCTCTGCTTTCCTTCCACACACTGCTACCTGCTTGCTCAATTCCCCGAGCTGTAATGCTAGACAGGAAAACAAGCACAGTGTTTAGAGCTAGAGCACTGCTCTCATTTAGGAGCTGTGGAGATATTTTAGGAACTCAGGATGTCTGAGATGATTTGCCTCTCTAAAATGTGAATGTTCAGGGCCTCGTTGCCTCATTAAATAATAAAGTTACTGTCAAGTGCACTGAAGACCTGGGATGAAAACTTAAGCAACCTCTGATTTTAGTGTGATGGTGGTAGGCTGCTGGCTAATTACATGGCTGTCTTGAAACTGGTAACTCAGCTCCCCATGGGGACCTACTATGACTCCAGACACGTGGTTTCTTAATTCTCTGAGACCAGCAAGTAGATCAGTCAACAGCTTGCAAATCAGAGGATAATGCTGCAGCAAGCAGGAGCTGGGACTTCAGGGTATTGTTCAATAAAAAACAAGCCCAGCTAACTTGTTTTCTGTACAGGACACAATCTGGTTCTTAATGATTTACTTATTCTGCAGCTACATAGCAGTGTGGGGTTTGGGTTTGCTCCTGAAGAGGTGCTGAGTGCTGCAAGGTCAGGTCATGGCACAGAAGCATCTGTAGTGCTGGGGAAGACTACAGGGATGTAGAAGCATTTGAGTCTAAGGACTTCTTCTTTTGGTAGAGTACAGTTTCCTTTCCAAATCTATTTCCAGAAAGCAAAAGCTGTAGGTCACTGCCCCAAAAGCTTCCTGCTGGAGGAGGGAGTTATCTAAACAGAAGCAATGCTCAAACAGAACTGTGAGGACCAAAACAGTGTATTGGTGTCTCTGAGATCTCACAGCAAAGCTGAAAACTCCCACCTTCAGGTGCCAGTCTGTGCCTTTCCCCCTCTTTCAGGTGTCTTCTCATGCTTCATCTGTCACCCTGGGCAGATGAAAGAAAAATGTTGCTGATGAGATTTTCTCTCCACTGTTGCTGACAAGCAATCTGTCAG